GTATAAAGTTCAGGTAGGTATAACATTTTGCGAGTGTTTATTTAAAAAAAAAAATACTTGTTGTTTTTACAAACCTACAGTGTGATTTTATTGTATAGTACATTGGTAAAATGTTTGTTTTTACATGCCTATAGTGTGTTGGTAAAATGTTTGAAATAAATCTGCCCCAGTTGGAGTCAAATGTTACCTATGTTTCTGTTTTTTTTTTTATTGTGCAAGTACACCTACACACAATGACCTACAGTGTAGTTTTATTGTATAGTGCGTCATAGCCGCGGGAAGTAGGGGTGCTGGGGGTGCTGCAGCACCCCCTGTTGGCGAGTGGTATACATTTGAAAAACTGAGTGACCACCTAAATAAAAATGATTAAACTACATAAAATAGTTATGATTTTACTTAAAATAAAATTAGCTGTATACAGTAGCATATAATAGTCATAGTATATATTTGTATATATCAGGTGGCTTGAATTTATTTTCCAAATAAATAAAATCCGAGTCATCTAGGTCGTAGGTCCTGGGAGAGTGACGTAATTGACGCGACACACACACACTGCAGAGTGACAACTTTATAGAATGGCACGATTTTTTTCTCCAACAAACAACCCAATAAAAAGAGTGGACCACCAGCTACTCCTCAGCCCACCACCTCTACAACTAGAGTAATATGACACAGAAGAGACTGACACATCTGACTTTAATGCATGTCCATAGTAACATTTTGGACAATGTGGATGTATCTGCTCTAATGAGGGTCTTCATTAGTGCCACCCCAGGCTACATTTGGAGTTTTGTGAAGCAAGCACAAGGTAAGACGATATTTTTCCTTTAATGCTGCTGCCGCTGTGCAGTGTTTTGCCTTGTCAATCAGTTAAAATTGAATTCATAGTTTTATTAATATTGTAAATAATATTTTCTGACTATTTGTAATACAAATGTAGGTTTGTAAGACCCATAGTTAGCATGTGGGCATGTGCAGCTGTTGCTAAGTGATGTAGGTCTATAAAGGTTTATTAAGCGAGACACCCCAGGTGAATAGGGTAATCTCTCCAGTTAATTACCTACAATAAGGCAATTGTTTCTTATATTACAAGTTTTCTGAATATGCAAATGACCATTATCTCATTAAATTTGCGCATATTTTAACACATTTCAGGAACCGAAATCTGAACTTTGGATAAAGCCAGGTTCAAAATTCTCGTTTCATTTTGTAGTCATATTAGCATCTAAGGCTTTTACAGAAGGGATTTTGGATATCTCTCTTTATCACTCCATAAATCAGAAAATATTGTCAACAGCACTAAAATATCAATTTTCGCCATGTTTCTAGGTATAAAATCTTATATAATTCAGGCTATGAATGATATATGAACAAACCCTTCAGTAAAAGCCTTCATAATATTGATAGGAATATAACTGGAAGGTTTGGTGTACAGTATGTAAGTGCAACTGAAGTGGACATTTCTGACTCAGAGTAGGAGAAAAAACTCATTTTGAGAAAATGACCTTTAAAGATTGCAGTGAGGCGCTAGCTAAACCTTCCTGTTCTTTGGATGACAGCTTGCGCCTCGACGCACTCCGTGAAGGTATTTCATGTTCGGGGTCATTTGGTTTTTGTATAACCTTGCTTCGTGCAAGTGACAATTGTTGTTGTCTTCTCTGTGAACGTTTTTTTGCCGTTCTTTTGCCATTTTGAAATTTAAATTTCTAGCGGAAAGCTAACCAGGAAGTGTTTTAGCACATCACGTGACGCATCTGAACGAATCACGTTGTCAGAAGTTGACACCAGCCAATGAGATTTCGTTTCTTGGTTTAAGACCCTTTTGTACTTTCACGATTGGTTGCTGATACAAAGGAAATGACCATATTTGGATCCGATGAGATTGTGCAGGAGAGACGGAGCTTTTCCAACGATGACATTGTGCAAACAGCGGTCGCGGTACTTTATGTTACGTTAGAATGCTAACTTTTGGTGAATTTAGGAGAAATATATAGATGCAAATAGACAAACTATAGTAAAATGAACACTTAAATGTGTATTTTGTACGTTTTCCTTCCAAAAGCCTGAAAGAAAACATGTTATGGAATCAAAATAGCATAACATCTCAAAATTGACCAGTGCATGAAATACGATGTAAGCCTGCCGTGTCTCGCCTTTAACAAACAATTTATGCGGCTTGTATCGCTTAAACGGCTTCCTCCCCACTTGGCAGCACCCCCTGAGCAAAATGACTTCCCGCGGCTATGTAGTGCGTTGGTACAGTTACATACACACAGCTACACTTACACACCTACACAGCTACACATACCCACACAGCTACACTTACACATACACACACACACACCTACATTTACACACACCTAGTACACACACTCACACAAATATATATTTTTTGTAATTATTTATTTTTTTAAATGTTGATGATTTTTATAGTCTGGTACCTGAAAAAGGTCAAATGGCACTGATGGAACCAAATGTGCCCAAATCTTATTCCGCCTGGACTTTATTTTCATAAACCTCTCTAAAAAGGTCAAATGTCACTTGTTTTGCCTCAATCTTGATACAGGGTACAGGGTATATGTTATACTTTGGATTCCTAAAGCTTTTAGGCTACTAACCCATCATTCAAGGTTGGTCTTCACTATAAGTAATGGGTTTTCTTTAGGCGGAGACAGGAATTTACATTTTTTTGCTATGTTCCATCTGAATTTACTCTGACACAGAAAAATCTATATTGATTCTGACACTTCTACATCCAACTCACAGATGTAACCTTGCTTTGATAACAACAATTATTCATATAAACTAGGGCCGGGACTTTAACGCGTTAATTAAGATTAATTAATCACAAAAAAATTTACGCACTTTAATCGCACTTATTTTTGCACCACGGAACGTTTCTCACTGGATGAGTTTCAGGCGTACCGATTATACTGGAGCACCAACTAACGTTCTTGACTTCAGACAACAACAAACCACAGTGAACAACAGTGGGAAATGTTGTTTTAAAAACCGGACGGATGGAAACGTCGATAAGAGCACGGTTGTGTGCAAATTATTCAAAAAGGAATTCGCATATCACCGCAGCACATCAAGCCTCAAGTATCACCTCAATGCAAAACATATAGCAGCTAGCGTGGAAGCTAGCGTGGACGTTAGCCTCTTTTATCGCGTTCACACCAAAAAGAGCCGGTACTAAAATTAGTTCATGAGAACCTTTTTACCCCCACGAAAGTCCCTGCTAGAGAGCAGAGAGCTGCTAGAGAGCAGGGACTTTCGTACGGCTCTCTTGTGAGAAAAGAGCTATATTTCTGATTGGCTGGGCGGATTGCAAACCACGCCCCGTAAAACTCCCAAAAAGTTTTGTGAAGCCGCCATTTTATTATCCTCGCATTAGCATTATTAGCATTAGCCCAGCGCAGAAACGCAGAGAGACTAACTTATGGCAACACAAAATAAAACATGGGAGTGGTGGAGATGAGGAGGTGTCGGCGTTCTGGCGATTTACTCGGAAGGCTGCTGGGACTCCAAGCAGCTTCTACTGAAGCCAGTCCCCAACTCTGGGGACTTTGGGCGGCAGTATACGCCGTGAAGTGGTTTGCGGCCTGCCAGTAAACCCAAGGCAGAAGAAGAAGAAGTGATGTCAGCGGCTTCATTTGCCTAATCCTCCCCCAGGTTCAAAGAGTTCTCATGAACTAAATTCTCATGAACCTTTGTGGGAAAAGTACTGCGGTGTGAATGCGCCTAATGGTATACTAAAATCCATGTGAAAAAAATTGCTTCTCACTGTTCTTAGGTCAAATATTTATATGTGATTAAAAATGCGATTAATTTCGATTAATTAATTACAAAGCCTCTAATTAATTAGATTAATTTTTTTAATCGAGTCCCGGCCCTAATATAAACCTTTTAGAAGTGAAGTTATAGTCATTTGTTCTGGGAATGTCATTTTCGAGCCTGAAACCTGAAAAACAGACTCGGGGTTTAACAGGTTAACTACTTCCTGTTTCCAGATGAGGGGTTACCAAAATAAGAGTACTGCGTGTAGCAGTATAATTAAACATTACAGGTTGTGAGTGACATTAGTTATCATATTTATATATGTTTAGTAGGTTTTAGAAGTACGCTCCAAAATATTTGTTTATCTTCTGTATTGGTATTTATTATTTTGATATTATTTATTTAAATGTAGATATAAATGTTTTTTTGTTAAACTGTTCAAAATATATATATTTTTAAAAGTTCAATAAATGGATGTTTTCAAACTCAATGAATAATCGTATTTAATAATCGTGATTATGATTTTTGCCATAATCGAGCAGCCCTACGACGCAGTGACACCTGTACACAGACAGCATTACCTGGTAGATCTTCGCTCAGTGACTCTTCTCCTGCCTGCAGATATATCTTCTCCAGAGGGGATTTTCCTTTTGCAAGGGCCAGCACCTTGGGTAGAAATTCCTCTCTGAAGCAGTGCTGCAGGTTTTCAATGTTGTGGATGCGGTTCATTTCCTCACACAACTGCATAGACGGACAGAAACAAAGACAACACAGTACAATTTAGAGAGGTTGATTGTATGGACGGAACACTACGCGTGCAAGTAGCGATGGATCTGCAAAATATTTGACATACCCCAGCAGGTGTCTTCAAGAATGGATACTTATTGGCGATAGCATCAGCCCGTACCCCCTCAGCCACCTCCTTTCTCCTCCACTGAAATGTCCTGGTCATTGCGTTGGTAACGATGCAGGAATCAGGCTGGGCCTTCAGGTATTGTCGTTTCAAAACCTGTGTGTGCATCAATGGAGGACTCGTCCTCCCCAGAAACAGAAATGATGTCCTGCAGATAGACAAGACGGATGGAGACAAATGACAAACAGGAGCCTGGCTTAATATAGCAGTGCCACCATTTTCTATATACTGTATTTACTGACTCAGTTTTAAGTGTATACAGGCTGATAGGAATAAACTCACTGAAGATCATCTGACAGAAGTCGTTATGCTTCCCTGGTTATTTTCTGGTGCTTGGGGAGATCTATGATGCCCAAACTTTTGCTTCATGTTTCGAACTACCTCGTGGTGGACCAGGGGCATCCTTTCAGCTTTGAACCGCCGTTTTAAAAGACATATGCCAGGTGTGCTAATCAGAGGAGACAAAGTTTCAAATTAACCCAAAACATTTTTGTGAAACTCATTGAGTTTAAAGACAAGGTAGCAGATGTTAGGCCATCTGTTGAGCTAAAGGGGATTCTTTGTCAGAAGATGGCACCCATGTATTGGTTGCACTTTCATAGCTGACAGACTGTCAATCAAAAGACACAGATATGATAGACAGGTGGTTCATCCAATCCCCTGCCAAGTATTTTTGAAAGTGCCTGCTCTTTTCAAAACAGTTTCCCATAGAGTCTTCCCAGTTGGTTGTGTGAAACAAACAAATCAGGTATATGTCAGGTTACGGAAATCAAAACATATATTGTGATGTAACCCAGATAACACCTCAATAGAAAAAGTTAATTTGTAAATGAGCTCTCGAAAAGGCTTTTGTCCTTAATCGAAAATGCTATAGGGGAGATAACATCTGTCAATTCAACAAACCACATTGGACTATAAAACCAGTAAAAGTAACTTACATATCCATTCCCCTCCATATCCTTCAGGGAAGGATACCTGAAAATCAATGCTTTGGCCACTTTAATATATTCAGAATTCGTCGGATACCTAGAGAAAGCAGGATGAGAAAGTAAGTAAAGTATTTGTATGATTACAATACTGTAGAACAGGGGTGCCCAACCAGTCGATCGCAATCGACCGGTCGATCGCGGGGAGATTCCCAGTCGATTGCGAGATGTGTCTTAAAATAGAACAACAATATTCAGTTTTATCGTTAATGTCCTATAACATAATCTTCCTGTGCCAGAATAATGCACTTGAACGCATCAAAGCTTTGTGATTGGCCGGCTAGACCCCATGTGTCGGGGCGTGGCTTGTGGGCAGTGGGCACTAGTTCGCTGACGTTGTCCGTGTCAACAGGAGTGACAGTCCGCACACAGACAAGACCGCAATTATGGCAAAAGCAAAAAAGCCCCAAATATATCATTTTCACTCCGAGTGGGAGGATGATTATTTTTGTATCTATTCCAATTCAAAGTCCATCTGTCTCATCTGCAATGCGAGCGTGGCTTTATCGAAGAAGGGTAATTTAGGAGCGGCATTTCAAAACAGTGCACAAACGCTACGAGACGGAATTCCCTCCTAATTCTGCCCTACGCTCCAAAAGGGGAGGGGCCTGAGAGCACAGCTAAATGCACAGCAGTCCATTTTCACCAGGCCCAACAACAAGAGCAAGGCTGCTACCATAGCAACTTATCGTGTCAGTCACGTTCTTGCGAAACACATGAAGTCTTTCAAAGACGGCGAAGTTGTGAAAGAAACATTCCTGCCTGGAGGCTGCTGACGCGCTTTTGGGGGACAGTAAAAATAACAGTAGCATTTCAACAGGTTTTTGATATAATAAAAACTCAAGTTAGATACCGTTATTAATCAGCTGTAAGTTTTAGTTTGTTTGAACTTATTCATTATAATTATTGTACAAAATGGTATAAGAATGCAAACATTAAGATCTGTTCTGTTTAAATTGATTATAGTCTATTATCAATTCAGGTTAAGAAACTAGTGTTGCTTGCATCCTATTTTAAAAAAGGCATTTATTTTTATAATCTACTAAAATGCAACAAAAAAAAGGGTTTGATTCTATTAATTTTGTCTTTATTGCACGTTGGCAGCAGATTCCTGAGTAGCTTCAGATCTGAGTTTTCTTATTAGTAAGCCTCATTTATACTTTTGTAGCAACACTATTTTTATATAATGGCAAAGAAAGGGTTCAGAGTCTTTTCTTTTTTCCCTGTGTCATATGTGGCAGCACTGTTCAATGTTTCTTGAAAACATTACCCACTGTAGTGACGTGTGAATAAACTCCAACTCTGTATCAACAACACTGTTGTGTAGCTTCAGTTAAATACTTGTATGTGTGTAGATTAGAAAGAGGTAAGATAAAGGATCTGCAGTATTTTATGAAGTATTAATCGTACAAAGGTCCGTTTTATACAAGTAGAAGTGTGTATTCACCGCAGACTGGCAACTTTAAAAGTAGCTCTCGGTTCAAAAAAGGTTGGGCACCCCTGCTGTAGAAGGTGTGCTGACAAATATTTACAATAGCAATATTTACATTGTGTATTGTGCCATCGTCTCATGCAATATCCTCACGATTTTGTGTCCATCAGTGGACACTTTATGGCATGGTTGTTTTGCGTCCAGTTTGGTCTGGATATCTTTGGGGAACGTTGGCAGGGTAAACACAGCAGGGAAACTCCCATATTCTTGACTGCAGGACAAAGAGGCATGTGATTAGCAAAGGACAAAAAAGCTGACAAATATGTGAGGACATGTGATTATATTTAATCACATTATCATGTTATGGCTATGTGCGAGTGATATTTGATCATCCATGTAATCAAAACCCCTTCCCATTCAACCACACACTCCCATGTCATTGTAAACACATGTTCCTGCTTCCCATGACTGATATTTTTATTCTAATGAAAAGTGTCAACCATTTCCCTCCTGATTAGTTAATACATAGAAGTAAAGCTAAGACATGAAAGCTACAACAAAAGTTATCGTAAAAATAAAAGCAGTTGGTTAGTATTGATTGAGCGTTCAACAAGGTAATGTCACACTTGCCATGTTGGAGAAACAGTCATTTGGCAAGATCTCAAAAGTCAGCGTTGTAGTTGGCTCTGGCTCTTTCAGCTGGTGTGCAAATTGTAGGAATTTTGCTTGCTTTTTTAAGCAACCTTCAAAGAGGTATGTGACCATCGTCTCGGTCTGGTCATAGGACATTGCTTCCCCGTCCACATCATTATCTGAAGACACAAATTATGTTCGCAAATCTCAAAACACTTTTCAGAATGTAATCATTCCTAATCCATGCTGACATGTCGTTCCACATTCAAGAGATTAACCAGAGCTAACAGTTTAAGTACGGAAAATACAAGTGGTAACAAGAAGTAGTGCTGAGCAAAGTGACTAGAATGCAACCACACACTTATTAAAAAAACACACTTTATAAAGTCAGGCAACACTAACCAGGCTTCGTGTGATTCCGTTTATTTGTACCTTACTTCGACCACCCGTTCACTGTTATTGATCATTGTGGAGAGAGGCAGACGTTTTGTATTATAGCCAGGGGTGCACATAACTTTTTTGCCCTGGTTCTCAAAGGAGCACCTGGAGATGTTGCTTGGTGCTCATCCTTAAAATGAAATAAACCGTAACTTTTGAGGGGGTCTTGACTTTATTTGCCAGACACACGGCACTGAACACACATGCAGAGGTGAACACAGAACACCAGGGTTTCCCACACAGACTATACTTGGGCGGGCCGCCCAGGTATATTAACGGCCGCCCAAGTATATTTCGCGACCCATTTAGTTTTGTTTTTTTTTAATATTTTTTTTATTCGTCCGTGACCACGACGCCATCTGCGATCGATTAACTTGTAGACAATGATCCCTCGCTCCCTTGCTCTGATCTCGCCTCCTTCTGGCCTGTTAAGGCGGCCTGCCTCACACAGGGTGACTGGCTGTCCACATGATGTGGCCTGCCGACATGGCCACTGTCAAACAGATCATAAATCAAAGCCCTTGATTGGTCTCTGTGTGTCATTCAAGCTCGGATAACCTCAGCTCAGGTGAGGTAAAGGACTCTCTGAGTGTTTAGATAGTTAACTTAGTCTAAGTTCTCAGTGGGTCTCAAACGGTGTGGTCACCATTTATGTAAACACATATTTCCAATGGATAGTGAGGTGGGCTGAAGATCGGAAGGCTGTGAGTTCAAATCCCGCCAGGAACACCACCACTAGTGTGCCCTTGAGTAAGGCACTTAGCCCTTAGTTACTCCAGGGAGAATGTCCCTGTAATCGGTCATTATAAGTCGCTTTGGATAAAAGCGTCAGCTAAATGAAATGTAATGTGATTAGTAAAATATGCATGAATAAATAAATAAAAAGTTAACTAGGTGAAAAAAGGTAAGATACACTTTTAAAACTTGTTGAGAGAAAACTAGTCTTTGCTGCTGCCTCAAAGAGGAGCAGGGGGAGAGGATGGAGACAGGAGAGGCTGATTCAGGAGCACAGACACACTCACAACTATAAATGAACCAAAACTAAATTAATAAACAAGTTTCAGTGTTTTTTTCATATTGGAAATGGTATGTTATTGGTTATGGCCTTGATTTTATGATTATTGAAATGTATACAGTTCCGTTTAATATAGGTGTTTCCATAGATCTAGTCTCTTTATTTTCCCCTCAAAATGCACCAGATTGATGCATTTAACTCCAAAATAAAAAATAAAATCTTACCGGGGGGGCATGCCCCTGGACCCCCCTAGAGGATTTGAGGTCGACCCCCACTAAAAATCACATGGATAGGTTCCTAAATACATTAATAAATACATTTATTTTTTTAAATAGTAGCCCATTTCCATATGTTCATGTGTGGGTAGTAGATTTAAACTATAGGGCTATCACTATGGGCCCTGCCTGTACCTGTTCGCTCTGCCATCGCATGAAGGGTCTGCTAACAAGCGACCAACAGAAAGGTTAATGTTGTTGCACGTCACCTCAACCCCCCCCCGCTACCACCACCCCCCAAAGTATATTTCAGATCCGTGGGAAACACTGGCAGTTAATGGACCAGCACCAGAGGCATTCCCATACACACAGGCGTTGGAGCTGTTCTTCATGAAATCCCAGAAGGATGAAGTGCTGACAAATAGTGCCATCTTTGCGCAAAATGATTATACCGGAATGAAAAGTCAATAAATAATGTTGTTAAAACTTTTTTTTTTCTTTCGCACACCCCAGATCTGGCGCCCTAGGCTAACATCTAGCCAGCGCTACGGGCCGACCCTGAGTTCATATCATGGTTCATGCAACTCGCAAATATCTTTCCCTCTCTCTCTTCTCATCTCTCCTCTCTCCTCTATTTTCTCTTTTCCCTTCTCTCTCTCCCTCTCTCAATGTTGGTACGCAAATGCGCTTTGTTTCAAATGACCCGGTGCTCTTTTTTTGGCGGCGGTGCGCATGCGCACCAGTTATGTGCAGCCCTGATTACAGCAGCTATCGGATGGAATCAATACATGGGCTGCACAGGTTGCCATGTCCGACTATCACAAGTAGAATGAACTACATTAATAAACAATGAACCACGGCACTCTGGAGAAAAGTACAAGGTTGGAGAAGTAGTTATTTAATTTAAACTGGCTTCGTATGATTAGAAGTAACAGGATCATCGACCCGACGCAGTCACCCATTATTGTTGTTGTTGTGAGCACCGTTGGGGAGAAAATCCGCTACGTAAACGGTGGCGTCATGACGCAGCACCCGTCGGGCTCTGGGCCGTGTGAACAAAACGGGGGGGAAGAAAAACCGGTTCTGAATCAGAAGAGCGCAAGCACGGAGCTAGAACGGGAGCTGCGTTGCAAGCTCATGTCAAGCAATCACTACACTAGCAACTAATAAATGATCATTACACCTGGGTAAAACAGAGTCCATTCTCTTCGGTTCGAAACATAATCTCAGCAAATCCGACGACTTCTCAGTTGCAGTGGGCGACATTATTGTCACAAGTAAGAAGGAAATTACATACCTAGGATCTATTCTTGAGGCAAACCTCTCCTGTGACAAAATGGCATCCAATGTAATAAAAAAAGTCAATCAAAGAACTAGATTCCTATACCGGATCTCCTCTCTGGTAAACAAAAACACCCTGAAAACTCTGGCAGGAGCACTCATTCAAGGGTACTATGACTATGCTTGCACGTCATGGTACCATAGCACCTCCAAGGCGCTACAAATAAAACTTCAAACATCGCAAAATATCAGACTACTGCTTGACCTTTCATCTAGAACCCACCTCACCTCTGCCCACTTTGACAACCTAGGATGGCTTAGAGTAGACGACAGAGTACAGCTACTTGCAATGGGCCTGGTCTACAAGATCCACTACACCTCTATGGTACCCATGTACATGTCAAAATTCTTCCCAAAGTTCAAGGAATACCATGATCATAACACCAGAGGGAGCTCCACAAATCATGTGAAACCCAGATTTGGCACAAAAAAGGGGGAATACACAGTTTCGCAATTATGCCACATCAAGGTGGAACGCTCTTCCCACAACTGTAAAGGAAAGTAAAACTATACTTACCTTCAAAACCTCTCTTAAAGAGCACCTTCGGGGGAGAGCATTGCAAAACTGGCCCCGGTAATGGTACAAATCTCAACCTGTCGTTCAATGGACAGCTTCCCCCCCCCCATCTATGTATATACTCGCATTTTAGAACCTGTTACTAACTGTATATCTGTAGACTTGGTATGTCTTAAATGTCCGGTTAGGATGTATTAGAACGAAATCTAAAATGAAAATTGTAAATAAGCAATCTGTATGTAAAAAAACCACCTGTATGTAAATTGTAAATACGCAATCTGTATGTAAAAAACCACCTGTATGTAAATTGTAAATAAGCCATCTGTATGTCAAATATGTCTTATATGTCTTAAATGACATGATGAATTGGAAATGGGGGACCCTGATGTAAACAAGACGAAAGTCTTTCTCTGGTCTGCATCCCCTTAACAATTGTATGTTTTGAGCTGTACTGTACTGTACCCAATATACAAGCTGTTAATAAACGTTTCAATCAATCAAGCACAGCTGTAGCATCTTGAGCTATGGCTAACTGACGTTGTCTCGGAAATTAACAATCTCTCCTTTATTTAAGCAAAAGAAAATAAATATGAGTGCCTTTTCCACAATGAACAGATTCATGTTGGTCAATAGCCCCATGTCTGTGAGCTTTAGTGAAAGCCACCAAGCTAATCACCCATCCAGCAAAGTAGGCAGACAACTGTCACATCGCGCGCTCACTCTGTGTCTTTGAAATAACGTAATGGCTAGCGTCCACGCTCTGCCAGTTAGCTAGGCTAACTATGTTCAGTTAGCTTCACACACGGTTGCATTATAACCAATACATTCACGAACATTTAACCGGCAGTATTCTGTTGTTCTCCAGGGACTATTGAGCTAGCTGGCGTTAGATACCATCTCCGCGGTCTTTTCATGAAAAGCATTAGCCCTAGTTAGCTAAATGTTAGTTACTTGACTAGTCATGATGAATGAAGGTAAAGTTCACTTGCCTCTGAATTTCCTAGCTTCCAGTTCAGTTACTTCTATCCCATAATATATTACCTTGGTGATAATATCACTAGTGGATAGACAGGTCACGGCAGAAGTTGTCCCACTGTTCGCCATGT